TCACACGCCATTTGGCCTTCAAGAGATCTTATGCTGTCGGCGTAATTTGTGGCGTGTCTTCCAAGACGCATAGATATTCATGCGCAATTCAGATATCGAACTTCATAATTTAAAATTGATGAATCCATTCGCCACAACTTGGAGCAATGCCTTCCCAGCTGGGCCTTCAAGGTGAACAGCACTGGCATGTGGTCGCTGAGCTTGCGTTGCCCAGGCGCTAAAGAAATGACATCGTATGTCTCTAAACTTGCAGCGAGCTCGTTAGGAATATAGACTCTGTCAATCTTGCTCTGAGACGTGCCCTGAACGCGCGTGGCTCCAAAGGTGTTCCCGTGAAGCGTTGTCCATGCATCGACCAGCTTCAGCTCTCTACATATTTTCTGCAACTCTTTTGAATGGTATTTGCTTTGTTTTTGACAAGGGCCTCGGATGTCTCGAATTGAATCAAAAACACAGTTGAAATCACCTAACAACACGCACGGTGCTGAATTTAGCAGGAATGACCTGGCACCTCTAAAGAAGTCATTGGCAAGAGACCTTTCAATGGCGCGTAAAATTGGTGAATCGGATTTTCTGGTAGTTTCTCCCAAATGTCCACCGCAATAACACGGCCTTCTGCATCGAAGAGGCAATGCGCACCCCATCTGAACCTCGCATTGAGAAACGACACGGTGCCACGCGACTGCGTCTGCGTTAGGGAGAAGAAGGTTTCAACCGAAAATCTAGTACGGAAGGTCATGATTTTGTGCCGCGTTCGAAAGTTGGTCTCTTGCAGAAAAGCACGTCGACCCCGAGCGAGCGCACAAGGTTCATTATTTCCCGTTGTTTTACAAGATCTTTGAAACCACGAACATTGAAAGTCATGAAGATGGCCTATCAATTTAAATTAAATTTAGGGGGAAACGAAACAATCATTTTTTTCCTTTTTTTAACAACGATGCCTAAGGGGACGGCATGGCCTCTCCTGTCTCAAGCGGCAGTGGATGAAGTCAACGTCATGATACTCGAAGGACGGGCGCTGAGATTTACTCACGTGCACAGACAAAACGAACCCAGTGAGCAACACCAATACCAATAATAACAGAAATAGTACACGCAGCATGCAACGTAACTCACATGATGCAATTACTATAACAGGCATAGCCACCACACAGCATAGAACTCACAAGTGGCACATGAAGGTTCTATCGTGAATGACAGTAACATATGGAATACTAAACAGTTTGCATGCATCAGAGACAACAAATGCATAAAAGTTGTACGGGTGGGAAGCAAGCATTGCAACGGTATACACAACAGGAAGCGGAAAGAATGGATGTGGGCAGCACAAATTAAAAAAACATTGAGTGCTCACCCACATTGGATTGGATTGGATAAACTTTTATTTGGTCCTCCAAAACACAGATCACTGTGTTGCGGGCAGCTCCCACGTGGGGACTGAGATGCCAAGCTCCTCAGCCGCCTCGCGGGCTTGGTGGACAGCTCACCCACATCAGGTGATGGATCTCGATTTGGCGAATCCACTCGGGGCTTTTTGGATGTTCCGGAGGTGGTGACATCACTTCCACTGCTTGAACTACCAGGCTTGGTGCGACGCTGAGTGTTTGTGGCTCTAGAAAACTTGTAGGGAGAACGCGTATTTTCAGGAGACAAAGATACCGATCATGAGGCTTGCGAAAATCTGTCACTCCTTAATTTTCGTGATGGGGACCAGCTCCTACGATGTCTGGATGTCTTGTCTGACGCTTCTTTTTGGGCCTGTAGAGCGTGGGGGCGAGGCGTGTTAGGTTTCCTTGACGTGGTCTTTACTTTCGTGGGCGTCGTCTTCATGCTACCTTCCAGGCCCACAGGTGGCCGTCCATGGAGCTCGTCACTTGCACTTGTTGCCTCGGAACGTCGGAGCGATTTTCCCGGTTGGTCAGCGCTCCAAGATGCTTGGGACGCTTCCCCCAGCGGTGATGCGTTCGAGGATTGTTCGTTTTCTGTGGCCTTGAGTTCCTCTGATGAAGACGTAGCAGACGCCCTCGGCGTCTCCACAGCATTGCTGGGCTCCTCTGACAACGTTGTGGGATGACAACGCTGTGGTGTCCCCAGTCAGTGCAGAAATGTCGTTGCCACTCGTTGTGCATGGCGACGCGGCATCAACGCCGCTGGCGTCTTCTGTCTTGGCGTCATAAAATTTTGTGTCGGTTGCGCTGTCCTCATCCCAATAATGTGGAATCTTCTGTGGTCGTGGCTTGGTTTTGCGTTGCAAAACTTCCATGTGTCTGGAGGTTCCAATTAGGGTTGTTCTCTTCGAAGCACTCTTTCCAAGTTCTGGGAATTGTTTCAGTGCCTGTGAGGTGCTCTGCGCTGCTTCTGCGTATGACTTGGCACGGAAGCAATCTTTCGTCGCATGGTCCCCATTACAGCGCTTACACTTGGACAGACAATCCTCAGATGTATGGCCGAAGGTGCCACGTCGTTGACAGAAGGGTGTTGTGCAAGTAGTCGCAACATGACCTTCTCTGCTGCAGCGTGCGCATACTCTGCGCATACCACGATACTCGAGCATCACGCGGTGACCTTGAATTGATAGGAAGTTAGGGGCGGGCTTGGCCATTTCGATTCGGACCATGCGGGTACCAGTGTACGTTGATTGATGCCTTTGCAAGGTAACAAATGTGATGCCCTTCACTTTTCCGTATCGCTGAAGAGCTGAAATAACTGCGCCATCTGACACGTACGGCGGGAGGCGGAACACACTGACTTGTACGCTTGGCGCCTCGACTGCTTCAACTTGTACCTTTTGACCATGTAACTTGAATCCTTCGTTTACCATCAACTTGGTTGCTTGTGCAGCCGACCGAGCCGCAACTAGGAACTTTGAAGCTCTGAGGTGTTGCAGGAACAGCACCCCTTCACTCCCCATGACGTTTTCGAGGCCATCGATGATCTCGTCGACGGACGCCGTCTCCTCCGGGACGGTGAAATGAAGCAGTGCTCCTTGAGCGGGAGCACCGCACGCCTTAACGCCATCCTCGCTGGTCCCGGCAGGGACCGACGACGATGGGATCAGGCCACAAAAAAAAAAAACTGGTTGGCAAAGTCGCGAGTGCACACCCGGCAGCAACGCCGCTGGAGTGCTGACCGCGTTGAAGACTGGAACGCCGAAGCTCCTTATAGTGGCACCCGTTCGTCCATCGCAGTAGTAGTAGTAGTCGTAGTGTGTGACCAGTCTTACATTTTGACCTCCAAGGTGGTGCCGGTGGGAGATTTATTCTGTGCGCTGTTGAACAACAAAAAAATCGCAGCGTGCGCGTTAACTAAAAGCCGAATTCTCCTGTCTCTCATTCCTCCTTATCAGCCATTGGGATGTACATTGAGCACTATCTGACAAGAAAGGGTTGCTACGTTATACTCGCTGGGCGTAACCTCCTTGGTTTTAGAAAGGTTTAGCGAGCGTTGAGCCGCAGTGCATGAATGCAGTGAACTAGTATATACCATGAACTCGAGGTGGTTAAAGGTGGGAAGTAGACACGAAGGCCAAGCCATAAGAAAGTGTCCGTGTGCCTCCTCTCATTCAGTTTTCGGAATGTGCGCTTGGTGGCGGTGCTTCTATATGACGAATATGATGACAAGATGCGAGATGGTGCTACATGAGTATGAATAGGTGGACGAACGGACATACAGACAGATGCACGGACAGATGAACGCATGGACGGACGCAGGAGCGGATGTGTGGACGAACGCAGGGACGGACGCACAGATGGACGTGTGGATGCACGAACAGACGCACGTACGGACGGGCGGATGGACGCACGGGCGGCCACACAGACGTACGCATGAACGGACGGAAGCGAGAACGAATGGACGGACGGAAGCTTCGCCCCACTCTCTATCTTTCACTTCGTGGATATGCTGCCAATTTTTTACGCCGTAGGTCGTTACCTAGTAGTAGTAGTAGTAGTAGTAGTAGTAGTAGTAGTAGTAGTAGTAGTAGTATAGTAGTAGTAGTAGTAGTATAGATTGTAGCCACTTCTAGTTTATGCGTTGCTCTATAGATAGCGTGGTGTGTATATGTCCTTGCGAATAATACCACTAGATGGCGTTAGTAATTCACAGCATATTTATGGAGTCAATGAAGACAGGGGCGAAGCGTACGTCCATGCATCCGTCCGTTCGAAGGAGACAGAGACAGACAGACATATGGACAGACGGATGGATGATTCACGGTTTACTGACAAATCCCTGCGACGCTTCGCCCCATTTATCATGATTCACTCCGTGGATATGCTGTGATTTTTATTTTCTTTGAAATCACGTCTCTGTTCATTTTGGCGGGATTGGGAACTCCTGGTCGTTTATAGATTTCAGCGGCGAGCCTCCATCCATCGCTGTGTCGTCTTCCGTGTCTGTGCCACTCTTAGCCGACGATGTCCCGTCTCGCTGCCGTCAGTTCGTACCCTGGGCTTCCTCTTCATCCGTCTTCTGTTACCAGTCCTTCGTCCTAGCATTCCGTATCCAGTAGGAAGAGGAGAAGCCGCTATCCTGGCCGCGGCACTGTGTCGAACGAGACGAGACAAGTGTAGACGTGACTAAAAAAGAATACACCTGCGTAAAAGGGCGTCGAGTAGTGTGCATGGTTGTGCTTTACGTCAGCTGCTGCCTTTTTAGATATTTCCGGTGAAAACTTTAGATATTTTTAGATAATTTTTAGATATTTACGGTGCTCAGTGCTGATGAATTTTACGCCAACGAATGCATAAGACAAGAGGATCCTAGAATATAAACGTTTCTTCAGTAGGTGGCATTTTCTGTATCGTGTGTGGTCGTTGGCCATCCTGACAGTCCGAGCGTAACGGGAAGAATCCCCAAGTTTATTGTGCCATGCTTTATACAGGTGGAACGGGCGAGGGCAAGCCAAAGATATCTTGACTGATCGCCACGTGTTGTACATGCAGTAGCGATATCATCCGATACATCCTCTTTCGTATGAGTAAACAAAACGAACAGTTAAATATTTTTCTAACGGGGAGTTACAGGGTTGAACAGTGCACAGAAGAAACATCGTTCATTGCACGCCACTGGGAAGCTCATCACGACACTTGCACAAAGTTTCTGTCGTAGGTCAACCGCTGTGGTGGCCGTCGCAGTCTTGTCGAACTTCTTGAAGTTACGATGCCTGCCGTATTGGGTGCATGGAGAGCTGCGGGCCCACTACTGCAATTTGCAGTTTGTTCGGCGAAGTCCTCACTGCTGCTGGAACACGTGCGCCTTCGAAAGCTTTCACCGGTCGGAAGTAGGTGCTGGCGGTTGCGGCGGAGGACCCTTCCTTCCTCTGTGACGACATGGTATGACCTGGGAGTATTGCATGGCTCGAGGACTCGTGCTTTGGTCGACCATGACCCCCCTTTAACTCGAACGGTGTCGCCTGCTCCCAGCGGCGCTAGGGTCCTCCTGCAGGCGTTGCTCTGGCGATGCTTTCGGACCGGAAATTCTGGAACGGAACGGACATCCGGCAGCGTCGTTCGCAGTCGCCTTCCTTGTAACACCTCGGCAGGTGAAGGCGCACCCTCCATCGGTGTCGTCCTGTAAGCGAGTAATCCAAGCCAAAAGTCTTGTTTCGCGTCAGTAGTTTTCTTTAGTATTCTCTTAACGACCTGTACTCCTTTTTCTGCGAGGCCATTTGATTGTGGATACCTCGGGCTTGAAGTGACGTGTTTGAAATCGTACAGCTGAGAAAATGCAGCGAAGTCATGACTTGTGAACTGCGGCCCATTATCGGTACAAAGTTCAACTGGTATGCCATATCTGGCGAAGATGGCACTTGCTGCTTCTATGACAGTTCTCGAAGATGTGTCTTTGAGCAACTCCACCTCGGGAAAGTTGGAGAGCGCGTCATAAACACACAAGTATGTTCTACCGCCATATTCGAAAAGGTCCGCCCCTACACGGTACCAAGGCTGGGGTGGCGCCGGGCGCATCTTAAGAGGCTCTGTCGGCTGTTTGTATGCGTATTTTCTGCATGGTGCACATTTATGGCAGATCGATTCGATATCTTGATTTATTCCAGGCCAAAAAACAAGCTGTCTTGCCCTTGATTTACATTTGTTGACACCTAAGTGACCTTGGTGAATGCGATCTAGCATTTCACGTCTCATAGAAGCCGGTATTACCACCTTACAGCCTTTCAAAAGTACACCGTTAACTTGAGATAGTTCTGCTTGAAATGGCCTCCATTGGCCCTTGATATCCTCTCCAGATTCTAGGTTTTTCAGAACGTCTTTAAGCTCTTCGTCCTTCTCTGTTTCTGCTGACAACCACTTCCATGTTCGGTCGCTCACTAATGAAGACATCACACTTACCGCGTGGACTTCTACATCGTCGCTGTCGGTGTCACCCGCTTGCCTGCTTGTGGCTCTCGAGAGCATGTCGGCCAGGACGAGCTGCTTCCCTGGAATGAATTGCAAGTCAAGGTCATAACGCAGCAAACGGAGGAAGAAACGCTGTAGCCTTGGCGGCATATCGCCTATTGGTTTCCGAGCAATGGTAATCAAGGGCCGATGATCGGTCTCTGCAATGACATTGCGGCCGTAGATAAAGTGATGAAATCTTTCGCAGCCGTACAGCAATGCTAACGTCTCTTTTCAATTTGTGAATACCGTTGCTCAGTTTCGCTGAGCGCTCGTGACGCGTACGCGACCGGCTTCCACGCGTTATTGTGGTATTGCAGCAAAGCTGATCCAACCCCATTCCGTGATGCGTCGCACGACACTTTGGTTTTTCTCTGAGGATCAAAGATAGATAGCAAAGGTTCTTTGCTCAAACTGTCGCATAGCTGCTTCCATTCCTGATTGTGGTTATCTGTCCATTCGAAGATTCGGTCCTTTTTGATCAGGCCCCTCAGTAGTGTGGTTCTTTCAGCGAGTGACGGCAAGAATTTGCTGAAGTAGTTGGCAACGCCCAGCATTCGTTGCACCGCAAGCTTGTCAACTGGTGGGAATTTGTAGCATGCAATTTATCAAGGATGGGCTTGGTCTGATGCCGTTTTTGTCAATCACGTCCCCGAGAAATTCTATCTTTTCGACCGCAAACGTGCACTTTTCTGGGTTGAATGTAAGGCCGGCGCGTTCAGCTGCTCGTAGCACCGACTTAAGACGCTCATTATGTTCTTCTATGGATGCACCCCAGATAAGGACGTCGTCCACGTACACTCTGACCCCAGGAAGTTCTTCAAAAATTTCATTCAGGGTCCTCTGGAAGACCTCTGAAGCCGATGCTATACCAAAGGGTAAGCGCAAAAACCGGTAGCGGCCGAATGGTGTTGCGAAGGTGCAAATTCGGGAGGTTTCGTCATCTAAAGGGATCTGGTGAAACCCCGAGTTTGCGTCTAGGCGTGAAAAAACTGTCGCGCCGGCGAGGTCTGCTTCTATATCTTCTCTGCGAGGCATTATGTAATGTTCTCTTTTTAGGCACTCATTTATGTTTCGTGGATCAATGCACACTCGGATTTTCCCGTCCTTCTTTCGAACAATAACGACAGGACTCACCCAGTCTGTAGGCTCGGTCACCTTCGTGATAATGCTGGCTCGTTGCATGCGGTCCAATTCCATCTTGAGGGGTTCTTGTAAGGCCACTGGAACACGCCGTGCGGCCTGGACGACGGGTATGGCGCCGTCACGTAACACCATCTTGTATGCTCGTTGCACGCACCCGGTTCCGGTGAACAGATGGCGAAATTCGTCAAAGATGCACTCATGGTTGCTTTTAGACACGCTGTAAACACGCGGCACAAGCCTCATGAGTTGGCATGCTTGAAGTCCGAGGATCGCTTGACGCCCCTTCCGTACGATGAAAAAATCCAGTACTGAGGTCGAGTCATTCAGTGTGACTTCGGTACGTATGACCCCGACGTGCTGAATTGCCCCTCCTCCATACGAACGTAACACCGCGCTACTTGGATTCAGCGGCGGTTGAGGGCGCATCTTGAGGTAGCAGCTCAAAGGCAGCAAATTTGCTTGTGCTCCCGTGTCGACTTTTAGGTTTACTGGCAGGTTCTTGATTTGAGCTCGCACCGTCCAGTCGCGTGGAATTTTGCCTAAATTTGACACGTCCAGAATGTCAAAGTTGTCTTCGGAGCCTCGGAGCTCGTGAACTTCCGTGGTTGTTTTGCAGCATATGGCGAAATGGTTGCGCCTGTGGCACTTCCGGCACTTCATCCCGAACGCTGGACAGCTTCGTGGTGCATGCTTGCGCCCACATCTCAGACACTTAGAAAAGGCGGGTCCTGGCGAAAAAGTTTTGTCAATAGGAGCCACGCCTACCGGATCTACTTCTTTCAGTTCGCGTGCCCAAACTTCTTGGTGTCCCGCTGCTGCTTCTGCGGCTTTACCTGCCAGCTCGGCCTTTTGTAGTGTCAAATTGTTGTCCCTTAACAGCTTTTCTCGAAGGTTGCTGTCAGTAGTCCCGTAAACGATCTGGTCTCTGATCATCGACTCCTTAAGACTGCCAAAGTTGCACGATGCTGCCTGTTTTCAGATCCCTCACAAAATGTTCGAAGGGTTCTCCCGGCTTCTGGATCCTTGAGCGAAATACATAGCGTTCGTGCACTTCGTTACTCTGTCCGGCAAAATATGCATCGAACTTCTGCACGACTGTTTTGTAATCGCTGCTATCCTCCTCTTGCTGGTATTCGAACGTGTTAAAGATCTCAATGGCTTCCTCACCTGCGATACTTAGGAGGAGGGCAGTCTTTGTTGCTTCCTTTCGGGGTTTGCCACTGGTCTCCGACGCGGTCAAGAACAACTCGAAGCGCTGCTTGAAGCCCTGCCAGTTCTTGCTGATTTCCCCATTAGTACGTAGTGGGGGCGGTGGCTTCACAAAATCCATGTTGTACATGCTAGGCGCTAGCTTCGGTTAACTTCTGACACCATGTATCGTGTGGTCGTTGGGCCATCCTGACAGTCCGAGCGTAACGGGAAGAATTCCCCAAGTTTTTGTGCCATGCTTTATATACAGGTGGAACGGGCGAGGGCAAGCCAAAGATATCTTGACTGATCGCCACGTGTTGTACATGCAGTAGCGATATCATCCGATACATTTCGACGGTTTTCGAGCTGCTTTTCTGATGCTGCCGAGAGTCAGAAGAGACCATAACGGCAGGTAGGCCTATAGGCACCCGACAGTGGACCATAGGGCGCGACGAAGCTTTTGGGCCGCCTCAGAATTGTTGGTGCCGACCACCAGGGATACCAAGAAATGAAACTCTCGCTGAACACATTGAGACTGAAGTGTCAATGCCCTTTTTGGCGCGTTTTCAAAGAAGGCTTTCTGGGTGCTTACATAATCAGCTGTGGCCCTTACATAATCAGCTCACAACTAAAAAAGAATAATATGCACGGGCAAGTCCGGTTTTGCTGCGTCTACTCGCTAGGCTGCGCATTGGAAGACTCAGTTTTGCTGCGCCTTACTCGCTAGGCTTTGTGTTCCGGCGCTACCATCAGATCTCGTAAACTGCATTGTCGGGTGCCTATTCAGCGTTCGCCGGACAGGGCTGGTCCCTCTGTCCCAAAGCCACCTAAAAATATGGCTCCGTCATGGCAGAGGGTGTGGTTGTAATGGAAGGGGAGCATATTCCCCCGGACGAATTTGGTGAAGAGTATGGCTGGTGCTCCGCCGCTGTGAAGAAAACGCCAAGCGCGTCTCTCGTTGAGACAGCGCCCATGAAGTGACAGACAGCCAAGGGCACCGTGACCGTCTCAGTGGCAACAGGAAGCATGTTAGCCTAAGAATAAGGTAATCAAGTCATTGCGAATGCTGCTTTTACCGAAGGAACACTGGAAGATTATAGTCCGCCCCCGGGGTGGTCTCCGCTCGGCTTGGTCGGGCTGTTGCCCCTGCGGCAGGACTCCCTTTCGAGCAAGCTTGCCAACATCGTTTGTCCCAACGCAACACAAAACATCATCGTTGTGAGCACCCCGTCTCGTGCAAATGCGGATTCCTACTTCAACATGAATTACCTCACCCTGGGAATCAAACAATACCAACTGAGCACATACGAAGCCGCGACGCTTGCAACGTGCGAAGGCGTCATACGTCAAATTGATGGGTCGGTAAGCCAGGCTGATCTTGAAAGAAGCATGCTCAATGACAGAAATTCTTCGGCCCTGGGAGCGAAGCGGCCGTACAACGTTCGACGTAGAAGACGAGAGAAACGTGGAACCAAGGAAGCGAGACGTCCCCAACACCAACAAGTGCCAGCGCCGAACCAGCTACACCTCCGAGCTGACGCTCCCTCTCGAGAAGGCGCTCGGCACGAAACGCTAAACCAGGTATCCGAGCTGCGTCACTGTCGTCCAGGAGTCGTTCCAGATCCAGTTCCAGAGGCAGCTTCAGATCGAGCAGCCGACACCGGAGCCACGAAACAGAGCCCTCTCCAGGACCCCTTCCAAGTCCATGTCTAGGTGAAATTCTAAGGGCCACTCCAAGTCGAGAGCTCACTCCCATGGCCCCAGAACAGGGTCTGGTTTGAGAAGCAAGCCAGGTGTGAAAAAATGGCAGCATATCCACGGAGTGCTTTACGGAGAGTGGGGTGAAGCATCCGTCCGTCCATTCGTTCTTGCTTCCGTCCGTTCATGAGTCAGTCTGTTGACCGTCCGTGCGTCCATCCACCGTCCGCGCGTGCATCTGTTCGTGCGTCCACACGTTCATCCGTGCGTCTGTCCCTGCGTTCGGCCATGGCCCCCATGCATCCGCCCCTGCGTCCCCGTCCATTCAGCCATACTCGCGTCCGTCCATGCATCTGTCTATGTGTCCATTCGTCCATCTAGTCAACGCTCCAATACCACCATCTCGCATCTTTTCATTACATATTCCGCATATAGAAGCACCGCTATCCAGCGGACATTCCAAGGACTAAACAAGAAGTGGCACACGCACACTTTCTTATGGCTTGCGCTTCGTGTCTACTTCCCACCTTTAACCACCTCGAGTTCATGGTATATACTAGCTCACTGTAATCAAGACACTGCGGCCCAACACTCGCTAAACCTTTCTAAAACCAAAGAGGTTACGCCCAGCGAGTATAACGAAGCAACCCTTTCTTGTCAGATAGTGCTCAATGTACATGCCAATGGCTGCTAATGGGGAATAAGAGACAGGAGAATTCAGCTTTTAGTGAACGCGCATGCTGCGAATTTTTTATTATTCAACAACGCACAGGAGAAATCTCTTACCGTGACCACCTTGCAGGTCAAAACGTACGACTGGTTACGTACTACGACGAGGGACGAACGGGTGCCGCTTTAAAGATTTTCGCCCTAAAAGAGCCCCGCCTGGGCGGACATGGTGCGGAATGGCGGGAATCATGCTGAAAATATCACGAGAGGAGCGGCACCAGAGCATCATTAATCAGAAATAGCTCAGCTTAGAAAAGAAAATATTGAGATGCACAGGGTAATCGAGTCCGTTCGAGCAGAAATAGCAGCGCTCCGTAATGTTAATCAACCTCACCCTGTTCCGGTACCTAGTCTAACTACCTCGCCGACACCCTCTCTACAACTGGCCGACGTACCCAGGGTCTTAGAGGTAAGCCACTCCGGCAACCCCGCGAAAAGAAATGCTTTTCCAGTATTCCCGAAACCGTACAAGCTAAAGCCAAGTCAGAAATCAAAGAAATGCTGAATTCTATCTGCCTTGAAATCTTGAAGATGAACGACCGACTGTCTGCAGTGGATCAGTGATTCTTTGTCATGAATAAAAAAATAGAGGCGCAGAACGTTTAAATTCACTGCGTAGAAAACACAGTACAAGGAACCGAGTCCAAGGGGCTGGAAATGGGCATCAGTACGCCTGCTAGCATGCTTTCTCATGTAGTCCCGCATGGCACGTCGGTGCCACCACCACCATTGCACATCTCTGGACTGATTAACCGAACAACCTTACTCGAGGCCCGGGCAACAACACCGGCAAGCGCTCTATACAGCAAGGATGGCGCCGCACTAACTTTAGGAATTGGCAGTGGAATTGCAGGGGATTCACATATAAAAAAAGCCCCTTGCAGCAGTTCGTTCGCACTCACGAAGAAAAGCCGCAAGGTATATTATTACAAGAAACAATGACTTATCAGGTTTCGCTCCGGGATATAAAGCACTTGCTCTCCATGGGGTCGGTGGAGGGATTTGCAGATTCTTCAGCAACAAGTTCACCTTCGTTGCACATGATTTAGGGGTCCGGCCTAGCAAGATGGAGACCACTCTAGTCGAAGTCACCCAGTTGTCATTACAACAAATCCAGCATTTTTATTCTGAACGTGTACAGCAGCCCGAGCTATCACAGACAGCGATTCAAAACCATCATCCCTAAGGTAACAAAACTTGCCGGAAACTCTCCGTTGGTTGTGACCGGAAATTTTAATCCTCTTTTCACCCGTGGAACTACTCACACGACACGGTCAAGGGCGGAAGCTCATGGATGAAGGCGGGAAACGCTGAAATTTCTCTATTGACAGATTTGGCGTTTACGACTAGACGAGACACTTCCTCGACTAGGGACTCTGTCCCGGATCTCATCTTTGCTAAAAACGCTTGCTCAACTGTGTGGTCGAATCTGCTGGTAGACTTAGGTAGTGAGACTTACATCAAAGCCTCCAGCCTAGAAGTAGAACAAAAAGGAAAGAGGGCCGTCTCAGTCTCTGACTTGGACGAACTTCGGGAAGTCCGCAAGGCCCGCGCCTCAAGTGGCGAAAAGCCCGAGAATATTGTCTAGTGGTGCGAAGATATTCCGCAGGACATCTGCTCCATCACGAAAACAATAGAGACGTATATAAAAGTAGAACAAATGAATAAATCAGGCTGGCACACCTTCTCGAGGCCAAGTAATCCGTCCTCGAGTGTTGGAAAAGCCTACGCTTGAAGCCGACGCAAGCTCAGAAAAAAAAATAGTCGAGCTCAACAGGCAGATCAAGGAGCACTGTAAAACCCTGTCTGGGCAGCAATGGGACGCAATCTGTAATTCAGACGACGGGCAGATGCGCACGGGAGGCAAGGGTCATGAAACCTTCTAAAACATTTGCTCAACGATTCCGGCACCAAATCAAACCAAAAAGGTGTCCTCGCTAAAGCGTTGCATGAAGCCAAAAAATCATCTTCAGAAGAGGAATAGCTGGAGAGGCTAGCTCAGAAGTACCTGCCACTCAGAACTGTGGCTGATGACGCGAGCTATTCAGTATAAAATGCGACGATGAACTCTGCGCTAAATGAGCCTTTCACGGTAAGCGAAATCTACCGTGGCCTGCATGACCTACATGGTATATCGGCACTAGGCCCTGATCACATCACCAATAAGGCACTCAGAAACCTAGAAGACGAGTCGATCGACTTTCTCACAATGAGACAAATAGCATAATAAGGAGAGAACAGTGCCGGAAAAATGGAAGGAGGCGAAGGTAGTGCTCATCCCGAGATTTGGCAAACCACCAAGCCTGCACACCCTT